TGCTTCGCCAGGATGAAGCAAGGGGCAGTGACTTTATCTAGTGGCGAATCACGTCCGCCACCTCACAGTGTTGTTAAACGGACATGTGGATTTTTATAGGGAGAACGCTTGCTACGCGAAAACCCACCACTTCCTGGAACACTGCCGCCGAACCGTTTGCTGAAACGGGAAAATCCCGAACCACCCAGCTGGCACCACGAAGAGATTGTTCGGCAAGTCAGCCGGCCTTTACGAGTCAGCTTTGCAAATGACGCGTGTCCCAGGGTGATACTATCCCGCCTCGGTGGGCTAAAAGGGTTGCAGATCCATATTCGTACAGATTTGGATCCGTTGAACCGAGCGAAACTGAAATTCGCTATCATTGAGTTGAAGCGGCTTATCGATAGTGGAGAAAGTACCCTCCACATTGTAACAATTCGGGTAGTTGTCCGGGTCCGCCTAACCCGGATCAACTGGTCGATGACACTTCATGCAGACCCGACGGTTTCAACCGCGACCTGCGCCTAGCCTTCACAAATGTTTGTAGTTTAAATGAAGGAACATGACAATGTATCTCACTTCGTTGCCTCGCGTCGTCCGGACATCCTGGGACTGGACAAAACGTGGCTAAATCCTGAGCTCACTTCCCAGGAATTCCAGCTTAGTGACTACTCGTGGTTCCGGTGCGACAGATTATCAAACGAGCGCAATGGCGTGCTGTTATTCATTCGGTCTTCGTTATGCGGAAGACTTACACTCTTACCGCAGCGAAGATAGCCTGTGCGAGCAACTATGCTGTTCGATCCGCTTGAGACAGGGTGAATTGTTTGTGGGTGCAGCTTATCGCATTCCGCGAAGTCGATGTCTGCATTGGTTGCCACATGTAAGAAACTACATGAGTCGGCCCAGCTTCCTGCTTATGGGCGATTTTAATTTCCCTCGGATACTGAGGCCTAACTACTCCCTGGGCACTGTGAAATCGAAGCGCAATTTGCAGAGGTGATATTTGAGACTGGGTCAGCACAACACGTTTGGCAACCGACGCGCGTTACATCACGTTCCGCTCCATCGTGCTTGGACCTATTATTAATTCCAGAAGAGTAGTAGGGGGAGTTGAATGGTATAGGTAGAACTTCGTCACATCTAGGCTCACTCAGACAGCCGCCACAAGCCCGGAAACGCACTGCACGCGCGTTTCATCCTTTCGGGAATCATCAGCAGTGCGCATTCCATCGGACCCTTGGTAGGGCTCGAAACCGCAACTCGACTGTTGCCAGTCCGTGGTTGAGACCACTGAGCTACGGGGGACGGCAACAACCATCGTGAATAAGTTACTAGATGTGATATAGCGCCGCTCACTATCCACTGACTTACACGTTACTGCCGTGCAGAGGACAGGGTAGCCCCTTCACCAAGCGACGAGCTTAGCAAACTTAAGCCGCCAATTATCTTATGGCATTATAAGCAGTTTGTCCTGCGTACTGATTACAGAAGAGTAGTAGGGGGAGTTGAATGGTATAGGTAGAATTTCGTCACATCTAGGCTCACTCAGACAGCGGCCACAAACCCGGAAAAGCACTGTACGCGCGTTTCATCCTTTCGGGAATCATCAGCAGTGCGCATTCCATCGGACCTTTGGTAGGGCTCGAAACCGCAACTCGACTGTTGCCAGTCCGTGGTTGAGATCATTGAGCTACGGGGGACGACAACGACCATCGTGAATAAGTTACTAGATGTGATATAGCGCCGCTCACTATCCACTGACTTACACGTTACTGCCGTGCCGAGGACACCAAGCTCGTCGCTTGGTGAAGGGGCTACCCTGTCCTCTGCACGGCAGTAACGTGTGTGTCTGAATATCTAACGCCGGCACACCACAGCTTCGTGAAGGGCCGCTCGTGCTTCACCAACCTGCTGTTGACAGTAGTAATGGTTGCAAGCGTTGAAGCTGGGGAAGTCAGTGAATGTTATCTACATTGATTTCAGTACAGCTTTCGATAAAGTGAACCATGAGGTCCTGCTCCACATGCTAAGGATGTGTAGTGTTGGGGGCACATTGCACCAGTGGATCAGTGACTTCCTTATCAGGAGAACATGGCGGGTACAGGTGGATGACCAACTACCGGATTGGTAACTCTCCACTAACGGTGTACCCCACGGTACAGGGCTGGGGCCAATTTTATTCCTGATACACTTAAACGTAGTGCTTCTTCGATCGCATTGTGCACTGTTTACGAACGACTTAAAGATTTGTTGGGTTATTGATTCTCCCGACGACTGTGACTTCTTTCAGCAGGACCTCGACCGCCTATTCCGGTGGTCTGCCGAAGTTGACCTACCGATCACCCCGGTCAAGCCCCCATTTTATGAGCCTGGGGCGTGGTGGTAATGGCCCTGCATAAACCTTGGTCGGCCACCCGCTGCATCTCACCAGTTCCGTAAAGGATCTTTACGCTGTGATCTGAAGTCCGTTGACAACACGAACAGACTTTACGCAAACGGAGTACACCTGCTTTGGGCACTTAGACGCAGCTTCTGCACTTGGTCTGAAGAGATTGCCACAGTCTGCTCTCTTCCAAAATAAGACCGGTGCTGGAGTACTGCTCACCTACGTATTGCCCGATCATAATAGGTTTGGTGCAGAGACTGAAACGGGCCCGGCATGTAGTTACCCGGCTCATCACCAGTTTACGAAGTGTCATACGAGGACCGAAGTAGGAGACTAGGGCTGTACACTCTGTCATATCGTCGCTTTCGAGTTGATCACATTTTAACGTATCGTATACTGCACATGGACCATTTCCCCATCTTGGGGCCACTGATGCACGTTCCCGCACCAAGCAGCACTCACAGACACCGATACAGACTATTGGTACTAGATTTAAATCGCATCGTTCACTTTCTGTGCTTCGAGTGTGGAGGGGTGAAATTCTGGAACAAGTTGCCGGAGACGTTAGTCGAAGCGAAATCGACGTCGGAATTTGAGATATACGTCGATGCCTATTTTGCGGACTACAGGTGTAGGGAGCGCATCGCACCCTGATATGATGTAGTGCAGCTGCAATGTGCTGCCACCGCACAGGAATCAGCGACGTTATTCCGCGCATGTGTTCGATCCACCTGCGATGCCGCAACACAGATTTTTATCTTTTCGCTCTCTTTTCTCAATATCCACTATTCGTTTGCTGTCACCAGCGGCGTTCGCCTAGGTTGCCCTATTTCACCTTTTATCTTCAATTTTGCCATCTAAGATGTCGTGCAACGTGCGCCAGAATGTGCTAAGTTTTTTTGGGCGCAAGAATCGCAGACTTGTACTACGCCGATGACATCTCTTTGCTGGTTGCCGACCTGCAAACCGTCCAAAACATCTTGAACCGCTTAGCGATTGAGGCATCCAATTGTGGTTTGTATTTCACTTCAGCCAAATGTAAAGTGCTATTTCAGGATTGGCAGGGGTCTGCATCCGCGCTCACCATTGTTGGCGACATTCTGGAACAAGTGGATCGCTTCAGTTATCTAGGGATTCACATCACGACTGGTGACGGTGTTGGAGATGAAGTTTCACAGCGCATTGCAAAAGATCGCCTTGGTTTCATCAAACTGCAACACTTATGGCATCGTCGTGACGTCAGTGTCAAGCTCAAACATAGGGTGTACAGTGCTTCCATCCCTACGGTCCTGCTGTACGGTTGTGAGACCTGGCCTGTTCGCTCCGAAGACTTGCGACAACTGTCAGGTTTTGACAACCGTAGTCTGTGGAGGATCGCTCGTGTGGGGTGGCAACATCACATAATCAATACGGACGTTCGTGAGCGAGTGCTTGGAGCGAATAGACCCAGTCTTAAAAACGTCGTTCTCCGACACCGCATGTGTTGGCTCGACCACGTACTGCGGATGCCAGTCTATCGTCTTCCCCGGCGAGCGTTAGTTGCGCTTCTGGGAAGTGATTGGAAAATGTATCGCGACGGACATCCAATCACGTGGAAAAGGAGCATGCAGAAAGCAGCCTCAAGCCTAGGTTCACTCGGATCAGCGCGCCTCTCAGGTTGGGGACCACATGATCCAGCATTCCTGTGGTTGCCAATGCGGGATGTGATGGCACCTAACAGACATCAGTGGCGCCAGGATTGTTGTGCCGTTTTATTTAATCTCATATGCATTATCAAAAAGAACGGCGTGTGTGAAACCCAACAAAGAACTACTTTTTTCTTATTTTTACACACTTATTGTCTTTTCTTTTGCCATGGTTCTGATGGCACATCGTCTGTATACAGAGGTATATATATATATATATATATATATATATATATATATATATGTGTGTGTGTGTGTGTGTGTGCGAGGTCGTATCTGCCCCGAATTCACCAAGTACTTAAGTAACTTGGTCGCTTCTGTTCAACATACCTATCGCTTTCAAGGCTCTGCTTCGCTTTCGGTGGAATCTGGTACTCTTGAACAATCCTTGTGGGACGGAATGTTGCTTGCAAAACTCTGATTGACACAGCTCAACACTGCTGTGTAGTGTTCGACATGTGTTTGGAATTGCTCAGTAATGCGCGCACTCCTTTGACGGCGTAGACTATCCTTTTCGTTTTTAATAGACTCGGGGAAGGCTATGATGCTTCTCAACAAGGAGGTTGAAAAACCTGCTTCATGCCAAAAATGCTAGCACATCATTTGTCGTGATACATGTTTTTTGGGGGCGTCTATAGCTCCGGTTCTCGGTTCTCTATGACAACGGCATCCGACTCGGCTGGATGCGTAAGTCAGGCGCACCCTCCACTCTATTTCGACTGATAGTAAGCGCTTGAGGTGAAATTATCCAGCTAACTATCTGTTTTGCTTTTCAGCCGCCTCGGTCTATTACCACCTATGTACGCCATATGAATCCTCCACCGGACGCATAATACAGATGGAAACTCACGTGCTAAAGCAAGATTTCGAAAGTTTCGAGCAATCTAGAGGACCAGAAAGTAACTGTCTTTTAGTTGATATTACGTTGTTGAAGCCAATGTAATTAAGAGTGAGGCGTTTACGCCAACGAGTCACGGATTTGATGTAAGTTAACTTTAGATAATGTTAACGGTCCTTAACCTCACAGTTTTCTGTTTTTCCCGATATTTGATTTTGCTGCTCTAATTTATCTGTTTGTCACTTGTGATTCTTGCTATTTTGTGTGACGAATAACCGAGAATTCACATTATTTCCGCCTTTCATCTCAGAAAAATGAATGAACAGCACGTGCTGAACTTATAACCCATAAACCTGCTGACTTCCATGGCTAGGTTTTAAAAGATGAGGGCAATTGACCTCTCCCTAACTTCCGAAGAGGGTTGGTATGTGAGACTGAGTTTGTCTGACCCCCTAATCATTGACCTGTCTGATATGAATGGCTCTGAAGGTCTTTGGAAAGTGCCACCCAGCATAGCTCAATGGGTCACGGGGGTACGCAAACCAACGCACCACGTTAGGGTCCACTATCGCTGCTACTATATCCTGCGGCGGACCACTAAATGGGAAACGTTCTCTGTTCTGAGGACAGTTGAACTGAGGACTGTGTTACAATGAAGATGACCGTTGATGAGCTAAGAACTCGAGGATAAGATGGCGAAATCAATTTTTGTATTGTGGATTTCCGTCTTGTGCTGCTAATATCGAGAATTCGTTGGAGCTAGATCATAGTCTTGCCCGGATCTTTATATTTACCACCGTTTGCAGCAAGAGAAACAAACGGGATGAGATCCTTTCTCTTGCCCATACCTAACAGCCTTCACTGATACTTGGCTATCTCTGGGTACCCCCATGGCAAGCTTCGTGTTCCTCGACTCCAACTTTCCCTAGGTGATCGCTGTGGATCGAAGACTGGGAAGTTGTTGTCCTCTACTAGAGTACAGACTTTAGGCGCACATTGTCGAGACAAAACTAAAATAAAATAAAAGAACGAATTGCCAACTGTACGCCGTAACGACGCTTCGCTGCCACGCGACCACACCAGTCGCGCGCACGCTGAGTACACTGCGAGGACGCCCACGTCTACGCGGATTGGAGCCGGTGACCTTATTGTTACAAACCAGGCGCGCAGACCACTCGGCCACCGGCCGACGTCGAGACAATTAATGATGACCGTACGACTATGCTCTGGTGTAGAGTTCTGCATAGATGCAAACCCCATTATTGTTTGTGTGGTGTACAGAGCTCTATCGGGTAATGATAATGGCGTTCTAGACTTAAGATCTATGAAAGGTGGTAGGGGCTGCCTAATTGCAGTAGATGTTGACCGGACTCGGTTTAGCTGCGGACTTTCTCCTGAGTCTGTGTGTGTCTGTCCTCCATTCCGACTTAGCACATTTTCCCACGCTTACCAGGATACTGCCGCGCCAGCGACGGCACATTATTCGATCTCGTGCATACATCGATATTCCTAGGTTTACTATTCTGCCGCCATAAATCACAGTAGAATAGCGGCAGCGATCGCTGTACTCTTCTCTTCTCGTGAACGCGACGTATCGTCACCTGTGATCGAGAGATTATTTCTGAGATCCCCACTGTATATATAAATTCACTAAATGCCTAATTGATGCCTATATAACGGGGCTTTTCTGCTCATAATTGTGTGGGTGGTATTCACATTTAATGGGTACAACAAATTATCAGTTGAGTTTCAACTGTTGATCTTTGGTAAGAAGCATTTTGGCACTTCAATCGAGTGCTTGCTGAATTTTAACTTCGTCCGTTTCCTAAGCTATGTCCTTCTTATGCCTGTTGACCGGCTTCCTCGGTGTTGGGAGAAAACGCGAGGTGGCTAGTCCGTTACGTGGCATAAAAGCATGAAGAACTTAACTGCGATACTTAACACAGGAAGACCGCTCCACCATTATACCTAGAAAGTCGGGGACCGATCATTATGACCGCATTACTCTATTTTTTATCCTAAGTTTTTTATAATTTTCTCAATATTCTTACTAAAAACTATGTGTAGATCATATCTGTAACTGAAGCATTATTGTATCGAAATTTAATTTTTTCAAAACCTGAAAACAATTGTGCTTGCTTATTTATATTTACAAATGAAACAGGTGATAACTCTCTGTCTGTCCACGTGAGCCACAATCTACTTTTCACATACAGAACACTTGCTCTTTAACCTGTTGCCTACAGAGTAACCAATCTGACACTACTGACCATCGCAATGAGGCTGGACCTTAACGTGCTGCGATGGTTTGCGTGCCTCAGAGATCCATTGAACTATGCTGGGTAGTGCCTTTTTGCGCCTTCAAAGCCACTCATACTAGATTGGCCAATTGTTAGAGCCTAGACAAACTCAGCCTCCTGGTTGGGATTGGGTGGCTCCTTATTCCTTAAGTCGGACTCCTTTTAGCCCACTGCCAAACCTGCTGCCTTTGCGATCAGGTTGAGAACTCTAATCGTTGTCCTGTCTAAGCCTGGGCAGCCTGACAGTATCTTGCCCACTCAATATGATACCTTCTTTAAACCATTTTTGGTGCTCTGGCCGTCCCAGAAAATAATAAACGAGGCACTATCTGCTGCATCGATCAGGGTGGATAGGGGTTTGGACGCTACTGCTCTAGCCTTTCCGTCTTCTTATTCACCCTGTTACGCTCCTCACCCTTATCGTCCTATCCCGACTTCACTTTTGTCTCTCCAGTTTTCAACCCTCAATTTTTGGTCCTCCTCCACCATGCTTTGATAGGCGCTTAGTTTCTAGTTTTAACTCACATGCAAACGCGGAGCCTCACTCCTCTCCTGTCGATAATCCCATGTCCAACCAAGCGGTCCCTTGCAGTTCATCAGCTTCTTTTTGGAGTCCTCGATTTTGCTTCAGATTGGCATGCCTCAGTGTACGCGCATTGCTACAGGCCGGTCAACAAATAGCACTTGTCTGAACATTAGGCACCTCTGGATCGATATCTGCTATCTATCGGAAACCCGCCTGCAAGACTCAGTATCTATGCTTACTCTACGATTTCCTTTAGTTGACACTAATAGTACATTCTCACTGCGCCTATCCGGTAACGATGCAGCTTCGAGCGCCGACCAAGCCGATCTTGATATTGCCCTGAGTCCCCGTGCTATAGTTTATTAATTCCAACTCAGTAGCCGGTTGTGTACGGTCCGATCGGCTGGCTCCTTCAAAGCTTCGAAGTTGCACGGGACTAATAATTATTTATTCGTCATCGCTGCCTACGCGCCAACAAACTCTAGTGATGATTCCTTAAAAGATGACTTCCATCGCCAACTGAACAGCAGCAGAAGCACGAACACTATAGCTCTGGCTGGTGATCTAAACTGTATTTAGGTGGCCAGCACGATTTAGGATCCCTTAGTGATAACGTTGAGCGGTTACTTCATTTGTGTGAAGATGCCTGCTTATTTCTTGCGAGCGCTAACTTCCGACACAGCACCTGTTGGAGAGTAACTTGGCGTCCACCAGCCTTAGACGCAAATCGATCACCTTGCGATCAGTTACCGCTGGAGAGGCTGCGTCCAGAACTTTCGCTGGATATGGAGCACCGACCATGTGGACACCGACCATGCACTTGTATGTGCTGACCTGCGGATGCGTTTCTGCGGATAGTCACGACGACGCTGTGAGCGCATTGACACCAGCCAACTGGCTAAGCCAGGTGTTCTGAACTTGTGTAGAAGTACGCTGACATGCTGATTGAGTAAGCGCTCACTGGATGCAGTTGAATGTCACCGGTCTCATGTGCACTAAACCTTACTAGCAGCGGGTAAGTCCTCATGTGGGAAATCTAATAGCCTACATGGACATTGGGTCTCTTTGCAGCCTCTGGAACTTATCCATGCTCGCCGGCACCTTCAGGGTGGAAGCGAACCCAATGAGACTCGCAGAAATATCCGGACAAAACTCCGTGCTAGCCTGAAGATGGACCGTGAATCCTGGTGGTTTCATCGTGCGTCGGAGGTGAAAATGGTCGGTGTCTTGGTAACCATGGGAAGTTTTTCCGTCCGGACAGCAAGAGACTTGGTGTTAGTGAAACTATGCGTGATGAGAGTGGACAGCCTATCCACAACATGACAAAACACCTTAGGCTTGGGTTAAGCAATTTAAAAACGATTCAATTGGTCAGAATTATTAGATTTCTCGCCGAACACTGATCGTCCAGCTCTCTGGTCTGTCTCTTTGGATTCACCTTCTCGGTCAGAAGTCGAACGTGAGATTCGACTGTTGATCATGAATAAGGCCGCGGGACCAGATGATCTACCTCCAGCCCTCTTCAAATTCTGGGGCTTTGCTGTTGTTGATGATTAACACGAATTACTAGTGGAACTGTGGGAGCAGGAAACTATCCCAACCGACTGAAGCCGCTCCGTCGTAGTCCCAATTTTTAAGGGAGACTCACGATCGTAATGCGGCAGCCATAGAGGAATCAGTCTGATCTTCATCGCCTCCAAACTGCTTGCCACTGTCATCCTTCACAGACTGACTGGCACTTGTGAAAGCCATATTCATGAAGTGCAAGTCGGGTTTCGTCGAGGTCGGGGCTGCATTGAGCACATCTTCACTCTGCGACAGTTGTTGGATCACCGTCACATATATTGGCGACCCACCGTAGTCGTGTTCCTAGATATCAAAAGTGCATTCGATTCGGTGGATAGACGTGCATTTTGGGACTGTCTACTCAAGAAAGGTATGCCTGAGAAATGTAAGTATTATCCGAGCAGAGTGTAGGCCGACAGCAACCTCTCGTCGCCCTTCAATATCTGTAGCGGTGTGAGACAAAGATGCCCCTGCTCCCGGACCTCTTCCTACTCAGGTGATGCAGGACGAGCCGTGGACGGTTAGTTTAGAGACTCCGTCGTAGGCCCATGTCCGTAACGCGATCACAATCCTTAATCGTTTTCGTGCCGCTGACCCGGATTCCCTCCCACCTGCACCATTTAAGGATTGCAGTGAGGTCCTTTGCAAAGCACTGACATTCCTATTCGAACGTATCTAGAAGAAAGAGTGTCCCGGCTAATTTTAACGAAACGATTCTACTGGCAAGCTACAAGAAGGGCAGTCGCATAGACTG